ATAATGCAGTGGCTCTAATGGTAATAGGAAATGGCACATTTAGCAGATGCTCCAGTGGTTGACTTGGCTACCAGTTTGTTTCCAGGTGAAATTCAAAGTGCTGGTTATTACCTATAAATCCCCAAGTGGTTCAGCTCCTGGATACTTATGGGATCATAGCTTCTGGTAGCTTTTAACCTGTCCTGGGCATCTTTTTAGGGAAGGGATGCTAAGGGTCCCGACCCTGTGTAAGATTGAGAATTCTGGGGCCTGATGGTGTTCCTTGTCTGCAGTTGCCTCCATGACCTTGAATCTTATCCATGGTGCCCCTAACCTCTTGGCCTTTAAGAAGATACTTAAGACCTTTTTATTCTACCTAGCATATGGGTGATAACAGTGATATAGCAGTGTTAGATATGGGTTTTCAATTTGGATTATTATTCCATCTTTTGGAATTTATGTAGAGCATTTGTTCTTTGTCGTGTTGCAAACCATCCTGAGCGCTGTCAAGTGGCTGGCATGTGACTGTAAGTATAAATAAATATAAAATAAAATTATCTGAGGCAAAACTAAAGCGTTCCCTATTGTACTCTAGTTATGCCTTGTAGAGCTGTTTTATTATTTTTTTTTACATGTGAGCTCTGGGTTGAAGTCCAAGGGTGGAATTTCCCTTTAGATTTTTGCAAGTGGGTCTTAAAGGGTTACAGCACAATGCAGAACTAACTCTGATTTGGATGTAAAGTACATCATCTTTTTAAGCATCTCATTAGGAGCAACAAATGGATTTAGTAATCTCTGACGACTGCAAGCCTATTCTTTGCAGAAACCCAGCCATTAGTATCCAGACTCATTATCTCTCCTACAACTTCTTCTTACTTCCTATTTATTACTGCTCTTCAGGAATTAATGGAGCTGTTTTGGCAGAGCTGGAAATTCCCAAATTCATTCTGTGCTGACACCTTCTTGGTGGGTGCAATACAGCTATAAATTACCAATAGCAGAGAGAAATTGCCAAGCCAGAGCTTCAGACTCCCTTGTGCTAAATCCATCAGGATGAACAGATTGTAAACTGCCCCATTGTAAATATCTGTGCAGCAGTTTAGCATCCCATTAATACTTTGGAATGTCCGTTCTTTCCATTTCTATGGCTTTTCCTTTCAAAGCTTTGGAAATTGCTTCTTTTATAGCCACATACGCCACGCTGAGCAGTTCAGACTTAGTAAGCAAAGTGGACACTTAGGATTTTAAGGATTTTTCGTTCATCCAATGTTTCCCAACCAGTGGTATACGTAATGATACAGCAGGGCACACAAAAATAGGTTAGGAGGGATGTGACTTCCCTCCCCAAATCAGGAAATAACCCGAAAGAGAGTGACGCAGGGCGTGGGAGGGAAGAGGAGTCCAGATCAGCCATTTGGAATTGAGTATATGGAGGGAAATGGAATTAAACATCTCAACCAAGTGTTGGAATTGGAATCTGGAGCAGGCTGGGTGAGAAAATATCCCCCCCTCCCATTCCTTAGCTCTCTTTGTGTTTGGACGTATGTTTTAGATTGGGTTTGATGGAAAACTGCCACCCGCGGTGGTAAACATTGCTTTAAGCCCAGTTAGCCCTCATTCAGCATTTTACAGTTCCTGTAGGAAAAATTAGTGTCAACGGCATGACTGCCACTTTTTGTGCTCTTCAAACTTATGCTAACTAATGAACGTGATGACAGAATACAAACATGTATGTGTCTTTCTCTGAAAAAGTAGTTTTTTGTTTCTACTTTGGTGGGAGAAAAGTATGATTGTTGGGACTTCAGGTATGAAAAGTTGAGGACTATTAGCGAGAGGGACCCAGTCATTAAGGAAACAAAGCAAGTCTACATAGGCAAACTATGGTTACAGCATTTTAAATTTTTTAATGTATGAAGTCAGAGGGGAGAAAAACCCACACCTACCCCCATGCATTTTTTTCCTTTATTTCAATCTCATGTGTATGTTTTGGTGGCAGTCTTATGTACATCTAAGGACTTGACTGGCACAGAACAGAATTTTTAAGGGCTTTACTGGGCTACTGTATATAATGAACTACTTTTGAATTGCTTATCCATCTGGTTTGGCTTAATTTAGACTTTACTGTGAAAGCTGCCAAGATTGTAAATGTTGTTATTAATACAAGGCCATCATAGATTACTGATTCCAATTTCCTGCTCAGTGCAGAAACTGGAATCCAAATTAAAGCATTCCCAACAGATGGCTTAGACTCTGTTTGAACACATCCAGTGAAGATGAGCCCACCCTATCACTGGATAATTGGTTCCACTATTGAACTGGCCTGATTGGTTTCTAAAATTCACTTGGAATCCGCCTTCCTGTAACTGAATATGTGACTTCCAAGTGAGGCAATGGCAAACTAAGATGTCTCTGGAGGAGCGGAGATGACGCTGTTGGCAAAGACCAAATAACTGGTGATGAGCCTGGTCTAGCAGCCTCTCCGGATAAGGAGAGAACAAAAGATCACTCACTTGTGCTCCAGATGGTTGCTCCTTGTGAGGAGACTGCAGGACAGTGGTCAACCCACGGGTCTGAACACTGGGAGACAAGGGAAGCCATCAAGCTCTCAGCTGTGGTGGAGCCTTTAAGGACATTGGGTTTATCAACCTCACTTCCTAAATATGTTTGGATTTACAATTATTTCAAAGTTAAAAGAGGTCTTCTAAGCAACAAGTTTGAAAAGCTACCTGGTGAGTAAAACTTCATCCCTAAATAGAAGAAAAATTAAATAACAGCTTAAAGAACTTAAAGAATATGAAATAAAGGGCAAAAAGCTAAATAAGAATTTAATTCAAGAAAGTTTTAAATGGATTACGGGACCAGAAGAATTTGGAATATTGGAACTTTTGCTAAGATTTTTGAAATAGTAAGATAAATAAGACAATATCATCATGGGAATCTAAATTGTTTAGTCTACCAGGAAGTAGATAATTGCTAAGATTCTATAGAAATTGGACACTAGAGGGAATAAAGTTCCAGGCAGGAAAAAGAGAAGAAAAAATAGACAAACCTGTTTTTTAATTTTTATTCTGGATTTAAAAGAATAGTAGTGAAACTCACAAAATGAAAGATAAAGGTATGACACTTGAGACATTTCAAAGGATCTTTGAAGAACTGGGAGAGAAACTTATGGTTAAACTGACAACAATAATTACTGTACCTGCGAATGCACTTCTTGAAGAAGATCCTAAAGAGGAAACGAAAGATAAAAAAGAGAATAATGTGGAAGAATTTACAGACCAACAGAATGAAGAGATGAAACAAATTCCAGCTGATACGGAAACAGTGGAAAATAAATTGTGGATTATAAAACAGAGATAACAGTTGAAGTGGAAATACAAATGATAAACTGAGAGATGAAAAATGACCTGGACAAAGACTTATTAATGGATTTACAAAAGAGGGTTTCTAAAGTTTTGAAGAAATTTTTGAGATGGGAGGAAGAAAGTTTGAGTGGAGATTCAAGCCCACAAGAGTAACTTGATGAATTAAAGATAAAGATTGTTAAAACCGCCCCCCCCCCAGAAAAGGACTATAAAGTTGACTTGTTTGATCATATAAATAAAAAATACTGCCAGAAAACACTGGGAATCCTTATGGACTTTTTGCTGATCCTGGACAGAAATGACAATTTTTGGATTTGTGAATGGAAAAGGGGGGATTATGTGAAGAAGTGGATTATGTTCCTAATTTTTAGGGGGCAGGAAAATATTAAATTTGCTTGTATGTACTTGTGATCAGGAGTCACTTCCTTAAATATTTTTTCTATTTTTTTTTCTTTCTGTATTTTCTTTCTTTTTCTTTGTGTACTTTGTATTTCTTTTCTATTTTAGGTTCATTAGTTTGAATTATCTTTTAGTATTGTTAAAATCCTTAATAAAAAAAAATAATTTGAATACATTATTTTGTGTCCTGAACTCAAGAAAAATGGAGAGTAGATCTTGAATTTCCTGATGGCATCTTTCAGATATTTGAAGAGTGCTATCACATCCCTTTAATTTTTTTCTTCTTGAGGCTAAATATACTAAATTCTTTGAATCTCTCTTCATTGGACTTAATTTCTAGTCCATCCTCTAATTACCATTTTTCTTCTTTGAACCTATTCCAGTTTATCAGAATCCTTAACTGGTCACAGTACTTGAAATGGGGCCTGACCAAAGCAGAATAAAACAGAACTATTTCCAATCATTTGTTTGATGCAGCCTAAAATTGCATTCAACTTGTTTTGCGGCCACATCACACTTCTGACTCACGTTCAATATTTGTAAACAACTATTACTCCAAGATCTTTTTGTCTTTGTACTGATTTATGATTCTAAAATGAAGAACTTTGCTTTTGCCTGTTAAATCTTATGCTTTTATTTTCAGTCTATTACTTGATTCTATCAAGATTGTTTTGAAATTTGTCTTCTAGAGTATTTGTTATCTTACCCTATTTTGTGTCATCTGCAACTTTGAGAAGTATTCCCTCCACCTTTTCATCCAAGTCTTGGATAAAAATGTTGAAGAATAGAGGACCCAAGACTGAACCACTGGATACCTCACTGCAGTTTGATGAGGACTTTTGGAATACAATTTTCATGCCACCCAGTCCTCACTTGGAAAACAGCACAAATAAACAAGGAAAAATAATGGTGTTGTTTTCAGCCCTTTTTGCTCAACTAGAACATTAGTTTTTATAATATAGCTAAAAATGGACTCTTCAGAATTGTTCTCAGTGGACAAGTTCCTTCTACTAATGAAGAAGTCTTCTAGTCCTTTTCCTTTCTGATTACTTCACTCTTGTTTTGGACCTGAGGAAGCCACAACAAACATACATACTTTTCACTTATTCCATGCAGCAGTCTTTTCCTTAGTTGTGTGCCTGATTCACCTCTCTACCCAATAGAGTATCTATCTCTCATTAAGATTGGAAATTCAGTGGGAAAACTTCCTTTCTATATTCATTTACTAACAATGGACAGAAGGAGACACATTTGGAGTTAGGAATTGTTGCAAATTATTTAATAATATCAACCACACAATGACTTCATTCTCCTGTCCTTCAATATATTGCTGAATGACAACAGCTTAGGGATAACTATGGGTACGCTTTTGTTTGGAAGAACTGTAAGCCCTGTTCCATTCTGATACTTGAGGCAATTCTAGATTTAATTTTTTTTTTTTTGCACTCAGTTCCAGCCGGTAAATCTTAAAATTCCAGCAAAATTCCTATTGACTTTGCTTGTTGGAAGCCCCCTGAGGAGGTCACATATGGTGATCACATGACCCTGGGATGCTGCAACCATTGTAAATACATACTGGTTGCCAAGCACCCAAATTTTGATCATGTGACCATGGAGATGCTATGACGGTCCTAAGTGCAAAGACTGACCATAAGTCACTTTTTTCAGCACTGTAGTAACTTTGAACAGCCATTAAATGAATGGTCATGAGTTGAGGACTACCTGTAACGACCTATACATCCCACAAACTAGAAATTGAATTGAAGATGATGTTTTCTGCCATCCTCTCTGTTCAACATGCCTTACTATCACTCAATACCTATTTTCCTGGACATTTAGGGCCAAAGGCATTCCTGTAAAAATTTTTGAAAGCGTGTACTTCTTTGAAACATGTCAGTCTGTAAGAAGGCCTTAATTCACTTTCATGATGCTAGAGGCATGCCTTTAAAATCATCATCACCATTATCATCATTACCATCATCACCACCAGCACCACTACCATCACCATCAACCAGGAAGCTAAAATTGGGCACAGAAGCACCTGCTTCAGTATGTCATAAAAGAATCATGATTGGTTGGAAAAAGAGCAGTATCACCCATGTGGTTATGTAAATTTTGCACATGGAGACAGATGGACATCAAAATGCTAGACTCCCTGAAGTGCCTGCAGAGAGTCTATAAGAAAGTCTATGTTCTTCGTATTATGAGTTCTCCATCTGGAAACACCTTTGTATCTGCCTTCCCCAGGACAGATATTCCAAAACAAAGATAATTCTGAAGTTTGGTATTTCCAAGGTTATTCATTTGCAGCACAACTCTGGATGAGTTGACTCAGAAATAAGTCCTATTTGAATTTCTATACAACACTGAATTCAATTTGCACTGGGGATAGGAGTGCAGCCTCAATTATTTAGTTCTTCATCCGGTTTTATTAGAAATGTTTTTCCACACAACTCTGTACTGATCTGGCTACCTTTAAATGAGCTGGTTGATTTTAATTCTTAAACTGCCAAGTGAATTGATCTTAAAGAATAAAAATCAAATGGGATATTCTGCTCTGTGTTTCATTTAGTAGCTTCTTCCTTATTTATTTCCCTAAACAACAAAGCTCTAGCCCACTGCATGCATAATTGAAGACTTCTCGGAAAACTGTGGAAAGACTGCTTCAAATAAGCAATCTACTGTTTTAAATGATTCTCCTGCCATCTTTTTAAATATTCCCCCAAGGCATGCAACATATTCCTGGGCAACCTTTAGTTAAAAGATCACCTCCATTAAGACAATCTATTTCCATGATGCCTCTCCACAGGAGTAGCTATAAATTCTGCAGTGTAAGATCTTATAAAAACCAAAAAGGGTAAAATCCCAGCACATGGTTATTATGACTAATGGCTTACTTGCAATGCTTTGATGCAACACTTTTTAAGAAACAACAGCTCATTATTCTGTTAGACTAATGGAAGGCACAGTACTAGCTATAGAATCCTTACAAGTAAGTTTAGTTTTCCAATGGTGTCTTCTCAACAAAAAGTAGAATTTACATTGGAAATCATGCACTAGCCTGATTTAAAAAAAAGAACTTATTTAAATCTACAAAAGCACCACCATGTTTCAGATAGCAGGCACCACTGGGGTTGTGTGGCTAGATGGAGGCATCTAACCAAACGTGGCTGATTTGGAAAAGCAAACAAGGTCAACCTAGTTAGTATAGGATGGGAGGCAGTCTGGCAATCCCAGTGCTTGACTGGGAAGTTGAAGGAAGTCAGTAGCAAATCACTTCTATATCATGCCAAGGAACAGCATGGATATATCCATGAAGTCACCAACCTTGTCCTAAAGGCTACTTTATTAATAGGGCACAGGGTGTCATCCAGCAAGACTGTCAATAACAGTGGAGGTACACCTATTAGTGGGATACTGTGCTACTTGGCAGCCAATTACAGATCACTATTTGCTGTTGTGTGGTCACTTTGCTTATTTCACATACATTTAAATTAACTGGACTATTGCAGATGCTGTTATTGTACTGCAATCTGCAGGTATGTCCTCTGATTCTTCTTCACCACGATCATATGTGGTATGTAGACCAGTCAGATGTGATGAAGTGGACTCCAAACTATACCATAGTCAATTGGTCCTTTAGCAACAAGACATTTATATGACTCTCTCTCTAAAACAGAGGCAGACAACTTCTGTCAGTTTGAAGGACACTTCATTTAGGGCCTTACTCTAAAATTGGATGAGGCCCATTTTGAGGGAATGTTAGGAAATTTTAAGAAGGATAACCGTAAGATTTAGGCACCCATTTTGCCCCTTAAAGTGACCCAAATACCAGGAGAAAAAGCCAAATTCAAGAGGCAGTCGAGGGGGGTCTCTGGGGACATAAAAGAGTTGCTGACAGGGATGTGCAAAATTTGATTTGGAAATGGAACATTCTGGAAAACACCAGAATGTTCTGTTCCCCTTCTATTCCCATGCTATGATGTTCAGAGATGTGGTCAGCAGTACCTAGAAATTAATTTTTCTAACGGGAAGCAGATTGTGATGTCCTGGACATGATGTTCCAGACAAACATTCTGGAATCGGTGAGGGTTTGCATTTCTTGGTCCACTCCATATTCCAGTGCTGCTGCTCCCTAAAGGCAATTTCCAATATGTATCTTCATGCAAAGCTCCATTATGGATGCCCTATACTGTACTTTAAGGGTTCTGGATGGTCTAATTGATTGGGAAGAGGCTAAGATGTAATTATTTAAAGAATTTACTGGTTTTCTGCATGAGAGTTTATGTTGTGGTGCCTACAAAAATTGGCTTGCGATAATTAATTATACTCCTAAGACAAGTAAATATTTCTGCTAGTGAGAGGATTTAAGGTAGACATATGGAAGATGGACTTAATGTTAGAAGTAAGGCCTAATGTTAGAAACAATGTTAGAAATAAGGTCCACTCCTCCTCTGCTGTCCTTTTGTTTCTCTTACCTGCATGTCTACATTTCCACACGCAGGGCACAGCGAGATCACTCAGGAAGTCTGTCTTTCTGGTTGCCTCAACTTATTTGGTGCACAATCTTTAAGCATAAGGCAACAACAAAAAGGCAACTTTTTTTTTTCCAAAACAGAATCTAAAATATTTAGTAAGATATCCAAGATGAATTTGTACCAATAACACTGACACAAACCTTAAATTACTACAAGAAACCTGAAGTTGCTTTTTTCCTCAATGACACGAATATGCTTAAATAGTTCATTCGGTTCAAAAATGTTATTTGATACATCATGTGCAAAGCTGCATCTAGTGTCCCTTTAAAGACTTCATGATAGCCTACTGGATTGGGCATATTTGTAAAACTTCATACCCATTCAAGAAATTAGGTTGATGGCTATTTAAAGGGAGTCACTGTTGCGTTTTCAAACAATGGATTTGGATATGTGAGATCTGCAGAACTGGAAGCAGCAACTGGAAAGCATCTTGAATATAAGCAGTGCTGTTACAGCCCTAATGAGAAAAGAAAATGTGTATTATTAGCAAAGTGCAGCATATTTTGTGAGCTCTTATACAGAAATAAATGGGATCTGCTTCCAGTAAGTTTAGCATAACAAATTATGATATGTGCTGAACATACATGCCTTATTTTCAAAGGTTCAAACTGTAGTGGTCTGTAGTCCAGCCCAGCTAGGTGGTACCCCCAAGGTGACCTTGGCTGATCTTGAAAAAGCTAAGCGGGGTTCATCCTTATTGGGACAAATGGGAAACCACCAGAATATCCAAGAAGTGTATGTTAGACTAAGAATTAAAAAAAAAAAAATCCAGAAAAAGGGAATACCACATCAGTCTTGCTGCCGAGAAGATGATGTAGATGTATCTCTTGGTTTACCAAGAGTTGAGATTGACTTTGGGGAATCTTTTATCTCTTAGTTTTATTGACTAGGACTCTCAGAATAATATTCTTGAAAAAGCATTGTACACAGAGGGATGATTTGGAAAAAGACTACAATAACAGGGGTAGGTTCTAGTAATTTCTATGGCCATTAACCCATACTGCTTTCCTCAGAGGTATGATTAACGGAGGGGGCCACGTTATCCTAATTCTCCCACTGTAACAAACAGCAGTTCAGGATGCTCTGCTAATTTAAACTGGGGAATCAGCAAGGGGAAGGGATTGGCTCTGCTCTGAATCCTCTTGCCACCCCGTCCCACAAATCCTTGAAATATTCTTGAAACTTCTGAAAATTGTAGCAGGACTGCAATCACTAAGCTTTTGCAGATGACTGATAAACGTACAAAATAGTGCTGCTTATACCATAAATGGAACTGCAGTGTCATGATCATTACATTTTATGGCTTTTCATAGGGACATCAATGCCCATACAGCTTCATTAGAAAATGACAACCAAGTGGCTCCTTATGTACAGTACTATAAACTTACTTACCTCTAATAGTACACTATTGACCATTGGATTAAGAATTTCAGCTTTTTTGTCACTCTGTTTAAATGAAAACACGGATAAAGTTAATAACGCTCTGGCAGCACCAAGAAAATATCATCAAATGAAATTCCAATCAAGGGAAATTATTGGCTTACTCTCAGTGAAACTTGCTTTGTATTCATTATCAACTATAAAATGTAACTTTCAACAACACTGAAAATGGGACAGAATTGGAGCGAAAGGACCATTTTTGAAAACTAAGAAGTAGCTAGAAATTTTCTGAAGACCCTGAATCCAGTGTGGATGGTTTAATGTTGCTTAGATTCTGTTGAAATCTATTGCATTCAACAAGTCTGCATGCAACAGGGCTTAGATCCTTACTTTTTCACAGGGTAGATCACTGGGCCCATCCGGAAGACAACCGGCTATACTTCAGACTACTGATGTTGTTCTACACTGTAAGTCTGTGTGTAGAAACTCTTAAGGTGATCCCTCTCCTGCTGCCTCTCAGTGAAATTTATACAAGGGAGCATTCTTTTAAAATACCCCAATTTACAGTGTGAAATAGTTTGATTTCATAGGAATTGATTCTGCTGAATACATAGTTTGGCTTGTAACTGCATTAAATTTAATATGCAGATACCGGAGTGAACATCTCCTCTTAAATTTTGAAAACTCTAGGTAGAGAAAGGAAATATTACTATTTCTGCTATTACTAATACTAATCCTAAATTATCACAACGTGGGATGAAAGTCCAATGAAGTCTACTGTGAGTTATTTATCTTGTTTCTCATCGTTTCTGTTGCTTTTATAATGCCCATTCCTGCTACTTTTTGGAGACATTTTCATTCCCTGATAATTCAAACAAACTTGATATAGATGATTTCTAGCTTTAATTTACTAGCCTTTCTTCTCTTCTCCATTTTTAATTTTTTTCATTGTTAATTTTTTTATCTCCAACTATCACAGAGTCTCACAACAATTTTTTTTCTTTTGAAGTCTCTCCCCTTCTTATTTCTGTCTACCTTTGCAACTATCACACCAAAAAGGAAGTCTGAAAAGAAGACCCTCTTTGTAATCATCTTCCTAGCTGATCTATTTATCTATTGATCTGCATCAGCATTTGGTTGGTTCTCCCCCAACGACCCGCAACTGCTCCAGTTGCTGCCATTTCATCTGTAGGGGTCTCCTTGTACATCTTGCTCTAAAAAAATTCAGTGATGATACTAGTCTTTTTTTTTTTTAAATATGCTAGTTCCAGGTCCTGACTGTTACTTTACCCTTGGTTATTTATGGTGCTTCCAGACAAACCATATTTCCCTCCTGAATAGATTTCCTCTAACAAGAAAAAAAAATGGGAGGAAAAAGCAGATTCCAAAAGGATTGCTGCCTTTGGATCATCCATTCAATTTGAAGTCTCTGCTCAGGCTCTTAAAACTGAAAGTCTATAGCACAGTCCAAAAGAAAAGATTAGCATTGACCATTATAAATGTGTTCTCTTCTTCTCCTCTAATATATTCCTGGCTAAGCTAGGTCAATATAACACTCTAATCCACAGCAAAGTCAATGTTTTCACTGACCTCCAAGTCTTCTTTGATGTTCTTCAGAGGCCTATTCCATCACTGTTCCATCTCTTTCCTCTTCACTAAATAATTTTCCTTTTCCACTTTGTGTCCTATGCCATTCTTCTCTGTATCCTCTCCCCTTTTCTAGCTTCTTTTTGTCTTATACTCCTTTTACTCTTTTTCTCTCCATCTCATTTGTCAAATTAACTACTTCTATCATAGTCTAATCACATAATCCTTTTTTCTTAATGTCTCTTCCAAATCTTGGGAAGTTGTCTTTTTTCCCACCATTATTGTTTTATGATTATTATCCTCCCACACTTATCCTTCCACTATCTACTCCTTTCCTCAATCTTCAAAAATGCACTTTTTCTTCATTCTAAAAAAAAAGCAGTCCATCCCTTTCTCTATCCCATCCTTTACTCTATGGTGGTTCTTCTATATTTTTCTCTCCAAACTCCCAGCTCATTGTACTTTCTCTCACTAATCTGATCTGCCCTTCCAACTCCACTCTTGATTCATTTGAGTCTGGCTTCTTTCTTTGTATTTCACTAAATTACTTTCATGAAACTAACTGTTAACCCATTTGTCACTGAATCCAGAGGTTTCAACTTGCCTCTACACTGCCATTAATTGCACTGATTGCTGAAAACCTCCTTAACCCCTTCAGTACAGAGGGTCTTAACAACTCTGCACTTAGTTCTCTTCTTAACTGTCTAATCAGTTACTAAATATTTCCCAGGATTTTTTTTTCATTGTTTCCCTCCTTGGACCTTTGCCACCCTCTCTCACCTACTGCACTATGTGTTAAAGATGCCCAGCATTATTTCTTAGAATTGATTTCCATACCCAAACTGATGTCCCATCTGATCCCGTTCTAATCCAGCCTGCCTTAAAGTGGTGATCTCCAGATGTGTCCAGTTCTCATTTCCCTAATTCTGAATCAGAGTTGTAGCACCAACACATCTAAAGTGAACCAGACCAAGGAAGGGCAATCTACTGGATCTCACTGTTTTTTTTCCCCTTCAAAATCATCATTTCCATGGAATTTCTGACACAATCTCTTAGATTTCATTCTCTCCTGAAAGTAATTCTAAACAAATAAATTCATTCTTCCTATTTACCTTCTTCTCTATTTTTCTCCCTGTGTTCCTCACCTTCTCAGATCAAACTTTGGACTATAAGCTATTTAGTAGGACTAGGGCTTATTTTTTCTATCATTCTGTAAAAGCACCATGCACATTATTATTCTTACCAATACTAAAGTGATAGAAAATGGATGAGCAGGCAAATAAGAACAGCAGAATGACTTTAAAGGCAGTAATTTTTAATAAACATGTATCTATTGCCTTGTTTACTTCAGCATATATAAACCTCTGAGACCTACAGAAATGATAACCTGCTCAATAATATTGATTTATATAATCAATGCTCAGTGCAAACAGTGTGAAGGAAATCTATTGTGATATTTGCTGCCAAGGCCACACTTATAGTGTTATTATTAAATATGTGAAGATGCTATTAATCTGGATAAGCTCATCTGCTCTAAATCTATATAACAGAGAACATTTATGTTATCCTGCAGCTCTTGTCCTTGCCATCCAAGTTAACATAAGTCCATTATCGTCAGCCAAATCAATAAAAATGAACTAAGTGGCTTTAGTAGAATTGAATGTCTCTTTTCATTTTACATGCTATGTTCAGCTAGAATTATCTGAGTAATACACACACACACACACACACATTTTAAAGGTGGGTTACTAGAGATCTTGCAGTACTTGTATCGCTAGACAGAGGCAAATTCACCTTAGAAGACACATCTGCATTAGAAAAAAAGATGTGCCTCCCTTGTCAGTGAAATATCTCAAGTGAATATCCCAACTAACAGTCTGGAGAGAATGGGCGAGGTGCACCTTTATTACATAAAAAAACCCAGTTACCCTCAGGCACTTCTCCAGAAAGGAAAAAGGCCCTTTGGATAAGACAGGGGGAGAATATATATGATTCCGATATGAATATTCATTTAATTAATATCCATATATTAATTACAAACAGCCAAGCAAGCTAACATGACGTCATACACACGATATACACACGCTGCTTGCTGCTTTTCTAGGTTCCTAACATCTGCATTCCATAATAGACATTCTCCCTTTATCTGCAAATAGGGTCCAGTCCTGTCCAGCTTAGTTGCCAAGTCACATAGAGCAGCGTTGTCCAAACTTGGCCACTTTAAGATGAGTGGACTTCAACTCCCAGAATTCCCCAGCCAGCCATGCTGGGAGTTG